TGCCGCTGCCTCTAAAGTCATCACTACCGGTGCGAATAGAAGACCGAGACGCTACTGAACGAGCCTGTTCTTGGCTGTTTTTGACACTACTTCCGCTCGACACTGCTGCAACTCTTCGATATACTCCTCTGCTCGTCTCAGTTGGTCGTGCAATAGATCCTCTTGAACCTCTAAACTCTGAAGTTCTTCGGTAGTCTCTTGACCTTCAGGAATGATGAGCAGTTCCATGCTCTCTTGAAGCACACGGATCTTTCCACGGATCTTCCCACGGTGGATCCTCCTTTTGGTAAGTTCTTTCTTGAATGCTTCTTCATCCCTCAGAAGGTTCTTCAAGACTTCCTCCGACGCATCATGTCCATCGCCAGCTTTGTCTTCCCTGGACGTAGAGCCGTTACCAGCTGTCACCATGTTGTGTTCGGCCATCCTAGGGTCCTTCAGCTGTTCGTCAACACGACTAGACATGATGTGGAGCAAAAATACAACACTTGAGCCAGATGGCTACGGATTACATGGCATGCGTATCATTCCATCTAATTACTATAATGCGACACAATCGTAGATCCTCTCTCACATACAATCTCGAAGACGTATTCATGCCGCATCTAGATGGTTGAATTCGCGCACGCCCATTAAAACAATAGATTCATTCGGTGCCGCGACAGTGGAGACGATCTCGATGGGACTCAAACCCACAACCTTCGGTTCCGAAGACCAACGCCTTATCCATTAGGCCACGAGACCAGTAAATTTGAGATTTGTCCCACCATCTCTGCCCCCATTAACTTCATGGCACACATGGTGTCCCATCCGACACGCTGAATAGATCGCAAAACTCTTGCTTCTCATATAGGGGCCTCCATTATAGATCACAAAACTCTTGCTCCTCATAGAGGGGCCTCCATTACATAGTGTTCTTAAAGGGGTCAATTCATTGGAGATCGTTCGTTGGCAGACCAACAATCTTCTTGTACCCTTAGCCTCAGCATGTATCCCGACGAGTCACAAGGGTATACAATCAACATCGACATCTGTACGGCCAGTGGCATCCGTATGTGGGCGCTTCCCGGCGTAGAGGCGATCTCGATGGGACTCGAAC